TCACTCTTGAAAAGAGGAGACCTAGGCGTATCGAATATGCGCGTTTGTTGCGCATTTCGTGCTGCACATTTTTACAGTTTAAAAAACGCATTTCCGAGGGCTACCTGGCTGTATCCCAATGGATACGCGCGGCAAATACACCCCAAAGAAGCTCCTGTACTTCTTTGGGCGTAGGGCGTTTTGTAGCGCGTTCATACGGCCTGTAATACGCCCAGGTGTGAACCATACCCATAGGAAATCATGGGATTTCGGTGTTTGAGCGTTTTGCAGAGCGTAGGAACGCGCTGCAAAACGCCCAGGTGTGAACCGGGCCTTAGAGGGGACATGGTATTAATGTACAAATTATTTAATGGTGATGGGGTAATCCGTAATAAACAGTTTACAGTTCAGTCAAGAATACAAGAGGCCACCACCTGAAACTGGAAAAGAAAAGGTTTAAGCTGAAACAGCGAAGGGGATTCTTTACTGTGAGAGCTGTCAAATTGTGGAACTCACTTCCACAGAGAGTGGTATCAGCTGAAAGTGTGGAATCATTCAAGACTCGTCTAGATACTTTCTCAGAGAGCAAGATATACAGGGTGCAGGTATTCTTAGTAACTCAAATACACACACACACACACACACAACGCAAAGGTTGATTTCGATGGACCTTTGTTTTTATTCAACAATAACAACTTTGTATGCAAGTAATCATTGCTTCACTGGACAAGAATCTCTCCCAATCTGCAGGTAATTGTTCCACGTAGGATTATTTACAGACAGATGCGACCAATGTCAGCCTGTCATTAAGGCCCCGTTCACATATAGCGACATACCTTTGCAGCGGCCGGGATAGGGCGACGTTCCAGCGACCTTCTCCGTCGGGCTCCATAGGAAAAAAGCAAAATCGCGCAAAATCCGCCGAAAAAAGGGTCCAGTAGAAGCGACTTGCGACTGCGACGAGCGACGTGCGACATGGAGTTAAGACAGCTCCATTGAATAGCATAGGCCGGCGACTTCTCGCGATATCGCGCGGCAAAAATGCGCGATAACGCAGCGTAAATCGCGCTACAAGTCGCTATTTGTGAATGGGGCCTAACTTGAATGGGCAAAGCAGTCGCATCTGTAAAGACACTCCTAGAATACCTGTCGCAGGTTCTTGCCGCAGGAATCCCCTGTCACAACTTCGAATGCCATGTACATGAGGCCTAGGGGTCCATTTAACCTCTGGCTAATCTTTGTGACTTGACATTCAAAGAAATGATTTTATGGCAGCAGACAGGACTGTCCCTAGGTAAATCACTGCCTGAGGTGCAAGAGGAGAGCTCAGCCTCCTGTGACAGCACTGGCTATCTCCGCCCCCACACCGCTCTGCCGATCTGTGACAGGAGGCTGGGCAGTGCGGGGAGGATAGACGCTGGATGCTCACAGTGCTCTCCACCTGCAGCGCTCGGCCGGCTTTCACACTTTCTCTCCTCCCCGCTGGGACACAGAGCAGCGCCCAGCGGAGAGGAAAGAAACCTGGAATGCGCCAATGTAGCGGCTGAAAAATTGAACTTTCGGCATCTAACCAAAAGTGCCATTTTCGTCCGATATGTTTCGGCAGACGATATATTGGTGCATCCATAACCGATACTATTTTTTTTTGGTATGGAGTATGAGCTCCGGTATTTTTATTTTTTTTGTTACATGCCGATACGGAGTACCGATACTGGTGCCCCAATTATCAGGAAGGCGGGCCGCGGATCATGACCCTTCGCCTGGCTTCCTAATTTCCCGTGAAGCCGATGTTCAAGTGAAAGAACACTGGCTTCAGAGGCTAACTAGCTTCCTGACCAATCAAGAACAGGGGCAGCGAGTCATGATGACAACCCTCTTCGTGATTGGCTAGGAAGCCAGCTTCACTTTTTTCTAGGCAGCGTGGCTTCCTGACTGATCAGGAGGCCGAGACGCGAGTCATGAAGTACTATCCGGCTTCCTGATTGGTTAGGAAGCCAGGCTGCCTACCAACAAGTGAACTGGCTTCCTGGCCAATCAGGAAGCCAGGCAGCAAGTTGCGACCCACCTCTCGGCTTCCTGATTGGCTAGGAAGGCGGTTTCAGTTTTTTCTAGGCAGCGTGGCTTCCTGACCGATCAGGAGGCCGGGACGCGAGACATGACGTACTGCTCGCTTCCTGATTGGTTAGGAAGCCAGGCTGCCTACCAACAAGTGAAGCTGGCTTCCTAACCAATCAGGAAGCCAGGCGGCACGTCGCGACCCACATCCCGGCTTCCTGATTTTCTAGGAAGCCGGCTTCACTTTTTTCTAGGCAGCGTGGCTTCCTGGCCGATCAGGAGGCCGGAAAGCGAGTCATGACATACTGCCCGGCTTCCTGATTGGTTAGGAAGCCAGGCTGCCTAGCAACAAGTGAAACAGGCTTCCTAGCCAATCAGGAAGCAAGGAGGCTGGTCATAACTCACCACCCGGCTTCCTAATTGGTTAGAAAGTCAGCTGTATGCTCCCTTGGCACTGCCGGTCAGAGGGACATCTCCCTCTGACCGGAAGTTCCGGTATCGGGGAAGGTATCGGAGCATTTGGACGAGTACAAGTACTCGTCCAAATACTCAGTATCTGCACCGATATTAGTATCAGTATCGGTACATCCCTAGTGCAAATCCATTTTATTGATAGTTGTCATTCAAACGACAAGCGCATTTCTGAGCCTGATGAAGGGGACCCTGCACGGCCCCAAAAGCGCTTGTCGTTTGAACGACAACTATCAATAAAATGGATTTTGCACTAACATGAAATCTGGACATCTGTATTGGATGATATGTACTATTGCACATAAAAGATGCCCCCACAAAACATGTCACAGGTTACCTTTGGCATTTTTTAATGGGGGCATGTTTTATGTGCAATAATAGCAAGCGCCGTGCCCAAACCCCTCCCCCCTGCCACCTCCCTGCGTTTCAATTATTATTTTTAATTAAATGTTTAATCAAATGTAATATGTTCAATTAAATGTTTTAAATAGCTTTCATAGAAGTTCAGAGGTCCAGCTGTGGAGAAGGACGGCACTCACGGCGTTGGTCCCAGAGGTCCCAGACGAAAAGAAGAGACCGCTCCAGAGACCAGTCCAGATGCAGGCAGCCGGAGAATGATTTCTCCCTCGCTCCCTCTGATGTCACTTCCTCTCACTAGCAGAGAACATCCAAGAGAAGAAGGGAGGGACGGAGTGTCTGAAGACAGTGCCGCACCGCGCTCA